ATATATTCGTTGACTAATAAATGACCAATATGCTCTTTCACAGGTCTCTTTAATTATTCCACACTTAAAGATATACACCAGAAATGAACAGTTCATTTGCCTATTTTTTTTTACATTTTATAAAAGTGTAAATTCTATGATTTTAATTTATTTGAATCATTCATGTTAATAATTAGTGATGTCTGAGGAAATGACATAATCTATGGAGAAAGCATAGAGTGATCAGAAAACCTAGTTGAATATGCCATGTGCTGGTAGGGATTCATTTTAGGGCCAAGTAACTTTCATTGGAAGACATTGATAAGGGTTTAATGGAACAGACACGAGTTACACTGCAAAGGATTATTTGAATTTGGGCAGGTGGAGACAGGAAGAAGTATGTTCTGGATGAAGAGAGAGGTTAATTATGCAAATTTTCTTATATAGATATTCTGCAGTATTTCTTGAATTATTGCTATGAGGGAGATGTAACATTTATTAATTCAGTTAATTCTCAATGCTAGGCTCTATAGAGGATATCAAAGTAGATATAAGTACCATTTGTACTTATACTATGGGTCACATTTTACTGGACATTTTGAAATGGTATCACTTGAGATATAAAGAATATAGCAGAGCTTTAAACAATTTCTTTACCTGAATTAATTTATATTTTAGGATATGTTGAAAATACCAAAATATTTTTGGGGTTCTATTTTCTTTTGTTTCTTCTCCTCTTAAAGTAAGAGACCATGAAGCCAAATGCTATTTAATTTAGGTAATATGCTTTTTCTTTTAATGGTTTGCTAAATAAGGAGACAGTTATATTTTATTTGTAAAAGAATAATGATTTATTCTATTTGTCATAATTATATTTGTCACCTTGTTAAATCAAGGTCTGATAAGAGATGGAATTCACAGAAGTTTGTCCTTGAACCTCATATGTCTATTTCAGCAGTAATTTCTTTATTTCTTTATTTTTATTTTTTTTTCAATTTTAGGTTCTGGGGTACATGTGCAGGTCATGCAGGGTTGTTGCATAGGTGCATACTATATCCAGCATTTCTCCCCATGTTATCCCTCCCCACCATTCCCACCCCCTGCTGTCCCTCCCCTACCCTGTCAAATGCCCCCAGTGTGTGCTGCTCCTCTCCCTGAGTTCACGTGTTCTCATTGTTCAATGCCCACCTGTGAGTGAGAACATGCAGTGTTTGGTTTTCTGTTCTTGTGTCAGTTTGCTGAGAATGATGGTTTCCAGATTCATCCAAGTCCCTACAAAGGACACGAACTCATCGTTTTTTTATGGCTGCATAGTATACCATTGTGTATATGTGCCGTATTTTCTTTGTCCAGTCTGTCGTTGATGGGTGTTTGGGTTGGTTCCAGGTCTTTGCTGTTGTAAACAGCTGCAATGTACATACGTGTGCATGTGTCTTTATAGTAGAACGATTTATAGTCCTTTGGGTATATATCCAGTAATGGGATTGCTAGGTCAAATGGAATTTCTATGGCTAGATCCTTGAGAAATCGCCACACTGTCTTCCACAATGGTCTAACTAATTTACACTCCCACCAACTGTGTAAGAGTGTTCCTATTTCTCCACATCCTCTCCAGCATCTGTTGTCTCCAGATTTTTTAATGATCGCCATTTTAATTGGCGTGAGGTGGTATCTTAATGTAGTTTTAATTTGCATTTCTCTAATGAGCAGTGATGATGAGTATTTTTTCATGTTTGTTGGCCTCATCTATGTCTTCTTTTGTAAGTGTCTGTTCATATCCTTTGCCCACTTTTGAATGGGCTTGTTTGTTTTTTTCTTGTATATCTGTTTTAGTTCTTTGTAGATTCTGGATATTAGCCCTTTGTCAGATGGGTAGATTGCAAAAATGTTTTCCCATTCTGTTGGTTGCCAGTTCACTCTAATGATGGTTTCTTTTGCTGTACAGAAGCTCTGAATTTTAATTAGATCCCATTTGTCTATCTTGGCTTTTGTTGCCATTGCTTTTGGTGTTTTAGTCATGAAATCCTTGCTTATGCCTATGTCCTGGATGGTTTTGCCTATATTTTCTTCTAGTGTTTTTATGGTGTTAGGTTTTATGCTTAAATATTTAATCCATCTGGAGTTAATTTTAGTGTAAGGTGTCAGGAAGGGGTCCAGTTTCTGCTTTCTACCCATTGCTAGCCAGTTTTCCCAACACTATTTATTAAACAGGGAATCCTTTTCCCATTGCTTGTTTTTGTCAGGTTTGTCAAAAATCAGATGGTTGTAGATGTGTGGTGTTGCTTCTGAAGCCTCTGTTCTGTTCCATTGGTCTATATCTCTGTGTTGGTACCAGTACCATGCTGTTTTGATTACTGTAGCCTTGTAGTATCATTTGAAGTCTGGCAATGGGATGCCTCCGGCTTTATTCTTTTTGCTTAGGATTGTCTTGGCTATGCGGGCTCTCTTGTGATTCCATATGAAGTTTAAAGTGTTTTTTTCCAGTTCTGGCATTAATTTCTGATGTCAGCAATACTTCTCAACTGCGTGATGAGTCTTTTGGGAGTGGAGATTCTATTAAAACACTCGACTTTGAAAAATACTTACTACAGTTCATGTTCTCAGAAAATATTTTAAACCCTGACACTCTTCTCTTTTGGATTTTGTAAAAAAAAAAAAAAAAGACATGGCTGTTTTCCTGACAGTAGACTATTGTTTTTGGTTTGAATTCTGTTATTTTTTATTTGCAGTTCATTGTCAAGCTATGACCAAGGTAATTATGCTAGTATATCTCATTGTAACTATTTATTCTAAGGAATAATTTAATATAAAAAGTCCTTAGATCTTACCCAATAATGGCATAAACTTGGAGGTTAATGTTACATTTAGACTCCTCATTTTACATTCTCTCCAAGTGTGTATACTCATATTTATGCATTTACCTTTCACTTGTAAGATAAATGATTTCCAGATTTATATTCATTATTTAAATGTTCCTAGGAAACCTCTATTACTGCCCTTACTCTTCTTTATCTTTTGTAATTACTGATTTACTTGTCTGTCTCTGACAAGTCTGTAAGCTCCTTGAGGGCAGGGACTACATTCAACATCTTCTGGAAGACAGTTGTTAATACACAAGCAGAATATTTTAATCCTGCTGATAATATTAGATTTAGCACTGTGCTATTTCAGTTTGCCCTTCTACAGTGTAACCCTTTAGGGGTCTTACTTTAAGCCTGAAGTACATCCCCGGGCAGTTTCACCTTGGCTGACCTTGAACTCCAGCTTATCTTCTCAATACCAAACAGCTGGCTGCTGAATTGTCTGCTCAGCTATTTGGCCTCCCATCTATTGCTGTCTGCTAAGCTTTTGGATTCTCTTCCTTCTTAGGTATGCAGAGTTTAGGGATTGGTAAATTCCTCCATGGTGAATTGTACAAGGATTTGGGGGCTCACTTCCATGTGGTTTCCTCCTCTTTGGGCTGTATTGACCTCAGGTCCTTACAGCTTGGTTTCTCAGATTCCAACCTATTGCTCCTTATCCCACCTGAACTTCTGCTTTTTATTCCCCTGCGCTGTGAATTTAGGTACATATCTTCACAAGAAAAAGCAAGGGTGAATGTGGAACTCACTTTATTCAGATTCCTTTCTCTTGGATAGTAGCCCCATCAGGTTCTGCCTATTTCAGTTGTTTCCCAGTGTCTTTTAGCAGTTACTTTATATACTTCTGTCTTTTATTAATTTTGGGGAGAGACTGAGTTCTCATACAAGTTATGTAGTCATGACTGGCTTGAAAGCCCATGAGCATGTATTTTTTAAAAATTGTCTTTTTTTTTAATTGAGGTCAAATTCACCTAAACTTAGCTGTTTTAAAATACACATTTCAGTGATGCTTAGTACTCTTGCAATGTGGTGTGTGAGTGTGTTTTTATGTATATAAATGATAGTACACTGTAGCTCTTGTTTTGTGTCTCATTTCTACCTAACAGTATGTTCTAATAATTTACTTTTTCTTTTCTATTCTAAGTTGCATAGTACACATTTAACTTATCTAGTCCTTGTGTGATGAACATATGCTTTTCCTCCAACTCCCTCACTGTATTGCAGCTAGCAAGAATTTATTCTTAATACCGTTTTCCCCAAGCCAGGTAGGTTATGTAGGGGTCTTCTTTGGAAGTTTGATCCCCAAAATTTCTAGTTTGAGTCATTATCTGTGTTCTGAAGGGATTGCGTCTTGGGGAGATTCCTGGATTTTTTGTAGCTATTCTAGACTTCAAAATTCTCCTCCCAGAATTATGTTGGCATCAGTTTAGTTTCTTGAGCATATCTAAATATCTGTAAACACCACGTTTTGCCAGATAAAGGAATGGGAGTACTCTCTACCCCTTAAGGTCTTGGTTCCTATATATAAAAATATATATGGAAAAATTTGGGTGATAGAGACTTTTTACATTCCTTTGGGAGTAGTAGTCTGCAATTCACTGACAGTCTGACTTTAGATGATGATAGTCAGTGAATTTAGTAATCAAACTGAAAATCTGGATATTGTAAACTACTGCTTATTAGCTATGTGACTTTGGGCAAGTTATTTAACCTCTTAGAGCCTTGGTTCTACAACTCTATGATGAGGGTTATAATAGAGTAGTTGTTGGGTTAAAATTAAAGAGAATAACAATGTAAAGCAGTTATCTCAGTTCTGATACATGTTAAGTGCATAGTAATATTGATATTTTATCTTATTTCCTTTGAATACTAAATGCATTTTTGTGAAAATGGTTATTTTGTTCATTTGGCATGTCAAAATATGGTACCTTCTATTATTTTTAATGAATTGTCTTCTTTTCCATTAAGTATAAACTCACGGAGAACAGAGATTTTACCAGAATCTAACTTAGATTGCTTCTCCTGCAGATTACATTAAGAATGCATTTTACATTTTTTTCCTTTTTTCCCCTCTCTTTTGAAAAACATTTGTACTTAATGTTTGTACTTAAAGTACAAAGCATTTGCACTTAAATTCAAAACTGAACTTTTTTTCCTCAGATAACCATGATGACTACACAGACTTCTATGACATTTGCTCCTTTTGAGGATACATTGTGTCGGATATTGTTTGGCTGGCAGCCGCAGTTCTCATCATCTGAGAAGAAAAGTGAAGCAAAATCACCTTCCAGTGGCACTGGTTCATTGGCCTCGAAGCCTAGTGATGTTGCTTCAGATAATGTTAAAAAGAAACATACTAAGAAGAATGAATAAATTTACTTGAGAGCTCTACAAGGCCAAAACATTTTTTTTTCTTATCTACCTGTTAGATTGTGATAATATTTCTGTGTACATGATGTGAAATGAAGACTGTATATATGGAATGGAGGTGACAGAAAGAAAGAAATTCTTTGAGGGAGACTAACCCTTTCTGGATTGTAATTCTTGAGTGTTATGAGTGTATCATGTGAATATGTTTTTCTGGTAAAAAAGATTCTGTTGTGATTATTTGAATAGTTTTATATTAATAATAGAAGGAAATTTTTTTTTAAATGTTAGAAAAAGCAAACCTGTCATTGAAAATTAACAAAAATTTTAAACTTTAAAAAAATAGGTATTTTCATATTTTTAAAATTTGAATCTATTTGAGCTTTAGTTCAGCAGAATTAATTTTTACATTATCATTAAAATTGCTAGGTATGGAAAACAATTCCTATTTTATTTTGAACACTGAGAAGAGTAAACTTTTCCTAAAACACTTTATATTATAAATGAAAATAAATTGCTAGTTTATATTTTAGATATAAACATTGTATATTTTATTAATATGTGTGTCAAATGGAAAATATCTGAAAATTTTTTTCCATAGTGGATATTTTCTACTAGAAGTAATTTTACTACTTTTCATTGAGAACAGAGCGTGAGCCTTAATCTGAAGTCTTTCTCATGCCCTTGTTTTAAAATAACTACTGTTTTTTTCTAAAAAAAAAAAAAAAAATCAAGGGTATAATTTTTAATAAATTGTTAATCCCATGTTTTGTAATTTTCATTTTATAAGCTTGGCTTATGTTTTTCTCTCTCGTTAAAACACATTTGTTTTAATTGTAGGAGAAATTACTCTTCTCAACATTTCTCATATTCTTCTTTCTAATCTTCATTGGTCTGAATATATTGGTAGTAGTTACCATAATTATTCAACAAAAAGTATCTCAATTCAAAAATTTTTCTGGTATGGCTTCTTTGTAGTGTCTACTGTTTTAGTTTTCTAGTAGAATGTCTTTGACAAGCTTTCATATAGTTTTGTTATATTTTCATCTACATGTACATGTGTTATTAATTTTATTTTAAATGCAAGCTAATCACCTTCATGTGAAAATGGTCTGAGAGCCGGGCGCAGTGGCTCAAGCCTGTAATCCCAGCACTTTGGGAGGCCGAGGCGGGTGGATCACGAGGTCGAGAGATCGAGACCATCCTGGTCAACATGGTGAAACCCCATCTCTACTAAAAATACAAAAAATTAGCTGGGCATGGTGGCGCGTGCCTGTAATCCCAGCTACTCAGGAGGCTGAGGCAGAATTGCCTGAACCCAGGAGGCGGAAGTTGTGGTGAGCCGAGATCGCGCCATTGCACTCCAGCCTGGGTAACAAGAGTGAAACTCCGTCTCAAAAAAAAAAAAAAAAAAAAGAAAAGAAAATGGTCTGAGAATTGCCCTTGGGCATTTGTTAGTAACCAGCTAACCAAGAAGAAACACGGAAACCAGAACTTCATATGGCAGTCCATTCAGATGAAGAATGATGACATAAAATCTGGTTTTGTCTTAGCAAAATAAAAAAAAAAGAAAAGATACTAAATGATGTGAGATTTTCTTACTTTATGATTTAAAAGTCTAGTGATAACATTACAACTCTGGACATAGTTTATTTTACCAAAACCATGAACCTACTACCTGTATCAGGTATTTTGGATGGCTTAGAAGTACTCAAGTCACATTCAAGTTAGAAGTTTTCTTGTTTTTTGTTGTTTTAAATTTTTAACAAATATAACACCAGCAGGTACTATACTTTTACTTGCTTAAAAAATTGGGAGAGGACACTTTCGATAGTTTTGGAATGCCTAAGAAGTTTATTTTTAATATTGTGACAGAAAGCATTAAATATTTAAGAGTTCTATATGATATTTGGTACTCTTACAGTTCAGAACTTTTCAAAATGAATACTTTGTTCATTATTGACCGGTTTTGAAGTTTGGGTTTAACTATAGTTGAAATGGAAGGAATCTTGTTTTACACTTGTATTAAAGATAAATTTATTAAAGTAAGTTATTTAGCACCAATGGAGTATTACATTATTTTTTTGTTTCTTGTTTTATATTTTCCTTGAGGTGGGGTTTCAGAACTCATCTAGTGTTTTGACTAATATAGTACATATTGAGTGATTACTGTCCAAATGCATTGGTAAAAACTTTATTAATCTATGCAAGTATCTTATAATCCTCAATTCAAGGTTCTTATGTAAAATATGTACTGGAGAACATGACTTAGGCCTGAAACCCCCATCCTGAATCTGTTCAGATCACTATGAGAGTCTTTACTTGGACTTGCAAAGCAGGTTGTTAGACCTTACCCAATGTGAAGCGTGAATAAAGCCTATAGACCTGCCTTACACAGCTAATCAGAGGTGGCACTGAGAACGTCAAGACTTAATAGGTCTCCTTAAAAAAAAAAAAAGGAGAAGAAGCTGGCAGGACCATGGGCCAGCTTCTCAGTGATCTCACCCTCAAGTAAAACATGGCCAAATGAATTATCAAACTGATTTATCAAATTAGTCACTCTTCCTTACTGAGGGAGTATCAAGTAAGGGCTGGAGAGAGACCAGATATGTAGAGTGAGTGGGTTTCACTGGAAATGCAAGCCTCCATGTGAGTAGAGACCCAAAGACAGATGAGAGAAGAAGGGAGAGTCTGGTTAGTGTATTTTTTTTTTTTTCTAGTCCTTAAAGCCAGGCACCTTTCCATTGAAATCCACTTCAAATCACAAGCTGATTACAATTGAGTGGAACATTTCATGTTGTAAATGGAATAATGTGTTCAGAATGCTCTCCCTTTCCCCCAATAGAACCCTTTATAGCGTTGGCCCCAGGTATAATTCACATCCTTGGCTTTTTTCATTCAGTTGTTTATTCAACAAATATTGAGTGCTAGTTATGGGTCAATCATTATCCTAAACTCTGAAGATAACAGAAAACAAGAAAAATGCTTGCTCCCTTGGAGTTTATATTCCAGTGGTGGACAGATAATAAACAGATGCATTCTTGTGGTGATAATAAAAGTTATGAGTAAATATTAAGCAGAGAGGGGAGTGGGAGTGTTTGTTAAAAGAGGACTGCTAGGCCTTTCTGTTAAAATTGCATTTTGGCAGAGACCTGAAGGACGTGAGGGAGCAAGCCATGTAGACTTTGGGTAAGTGTAAGAGTCATACTAATCCTTCATATACTTGATTTAAAGCATATATTCCCCCAAATTATTGAATTCATTTTTCTTATTAAGAACAATTTTACTCTGTAGTTTGTAACAGACATACTTCTTAAACTATTTTTTACATTTTTTTTCTCTTGAGATAAATGATACAATAAAATGCACAAATAGTATACATGCCATGCATTGTGAAAAATGCATATAACTTTATAACCTTAACTTCTACTTAGATATGTTACTAGCACTTCTGGGAGTTTCTTTCCAGTCAACTCCTTACAACTGAATTTAACATGAGGCATGCAATATGTTCTCTTTTATGTAGGCTTCTTTAAAACTCAGCATAATGCTTTTGATATCATCCGTCTTGTTGCATTTATTAGTAGTTTATTTCTCTGTAATTGCTTACTAGTTCCACCTTATGGATATACTACAGTTTTTATCCTATTGATGCACATCAGTGATGTTTCTAGCTTAGAGTTTTCCGAATAAGCTACTCTGAACATTTTTGTATACATCTTTTGGTGAACATTTTGGTGAATGATTTCTGTTTCTTTGGGCATATACCCAGTAATGGGATTGCTGGATTGAATGGTAGTTCTAAGTTCTTCGCGAAATCTCCAAACTGCTTTCCACGATGACTGAAGTTATATACTTTTTTTTACCAGCAGTGTATAAGCATTCTCTTTTCTCTGCAGCCTCACAAGCATCTGTGATTTTTAAAATTATTATTATTATTTTTGAGATGGAGTTTCGCTCTTGTTACCCAGGCTGGAGTGCAAATCTCGGCTCACCTCAACCTCCGCCTCCTGGGTTCAGGCAATTCTCCTGTCTCAGCCTCCTGAGTAACTGGGGTTACAGGCGTGCACCACCATGCCCAACTAATTTTTTTGTATTTTTAGTAGAGACGGGGTTTCACCATGTTGACCAGGATGGTCTCGATCTCTTGACCTCGTGATCCACCCGCCTCAGCCTCCCAAAGTGCTGGGTTTACAGGCATGAGCCACCGCACTCAGCCTAAAATTATTTTTTAAAACGTTCTTTATACTTTAAGTTCTGGGGTACATGTGCAGAATGTGCAGGTGTGTTACATAGGTATACATGTGCCATGGTGGTTTGCTGCATCTATCACCCTGTCATCCACATTAGGTATTTCTCCTAATGCTATCCCTCCCTTAGCTCCCCACCCCCCAGCAGGCCCCAGTGTGTAATGATCTCCCTGTGTCCATGTGTTCTCATTGTTCAGCTCTCACTTATGAGTGAGAACATGCAGTGTTGGTTTTCTGTTCTTGTGTCAGTTTGCTGAGAATGATGGTTTCCAGTTTTATCCATGTCCCTGCAAAGGACATGAACTCATTCTTTTTTTATGGCTGCATAGTATTCCATGGTATATACGTGCAACATTTTCTTTATCCAGTCTATCATTGATGGTTGGTTCCAAGTCTCTGCTATTGTGAACAGTGCTGCAATAAACATATGCCTTCATGTGTCTTTATAATAGAATGATTTATAATCCTTTTGTATATACTCAGTAATGGGATTGCTGGGTCAAATGGTATTTCTATTTCCCGATCCTTGGTGAATCACCACACTGTCTTCCACAATGGTTGAAATAATTTACACTCCCACCAACTGTAAAAACATTCCTATTTTTCCACAGCCTTTCCAGCATCTGTTGTCTCCAGATTTTTTAATGATCGCCATTTTCTAATTGATGTGAGATGGTATTTCATTGTGGTTTTGATTGGCATTTCTTTAATGACTAGTGGTGATGAGGTTTTTTTCATGTTTGTTGGCTGCCTAAATGTCTCCTTTTAAGAATTGTCTGTTCATATCCTTCACCCACTTTTTGATGGTTTTTTTTTTTTTTTTTGTAAATTTAAGTTCTTTGTAGACTGCGGAAATTAGCCCTTTGTCACATTGGTAGACTGCAAAAATTTCCTCCTATTCTGTAGGTTGCCTGTTCACTCTGATGATAGTTTCTTTTGCCTTGCAGAAGCTCTTTAGTTTAATTAGATCCCATTTGTCTATTTTGGCTTTTGTTGCCATTGCTTTTGGTGTTTTAGTCATGAAGTCCTTGCCCATGTCTGTGTCCTGAGTGGTATGGTCTAGGTTTTTTTCTAGGGTTTTTATGGTTTTAGGTCTTACATTTAAATCTTTAATCCATCTTGAGTTAATTTTTGTATAAGGTGTAAGGAAGGGATCCAGTTTCAGCTTTCTGCATGTGGCTACCCAGTTTTCCCAACATCATTTATTGAGTAGGGAATTCTTTCCCCATTGCTTGTTTTTGTCAGGTTTGTCAAAGATCAGATGGTTGTAGATGTGTGGTGGTATTTCTCAGGGCTCTATTCTATTCCATTTGTCTATATCTCTGTTTTGGTATCAGTACCATGCTGTTTTGATTACTGTAGTCTTGTAGTATAGTTTGAAGTCGGGTAGCATGATGCCTTCAGCTGATTTTTTTTGCTTAGGATTATCTTGGCTTTGCGGGCTCTTTTTTGGTTCCATATGAAATTTAAGGTGTTTTTTTCCAATTCTGTGAAAAAAATCAATTTGACTATTTAATAATTGCTTTTTTTTTTTTTGAGATGGAGTTTCACTCTTGTTACCCAGGCTGGAGTGCAATGGCACGATCTCAGCTCACCGCAACCTCCGCCTCCTGGGTTCAAGCAATTCTCCTGCCTCAGCTTCCCAAGTAATTGGGACTACAGGCATGCACTGCCATGCCCAGCTAATTTTTTTGTATTTTTAGTGTTGACCAGAATGGTCTCGGTCTCTTGACCTTGTGATCCACTCGCCTCAGCCTCCCAAAGTGCTGGGATGATTGCCTTTCTTTCTTTATTTTTTTACACTGTGCCAGGCTGCAATGCAATGGCACACTCTGCTCACTGCAACCTCTGCCACCCAGGTTCAAGTGATTCTCTTGCCTTAGCCTCCCAAGTAGCTGGGATTACAGGGTGTGCTGCCACATCTGGGTAATTTTGTACTTTTAATAGAAGCTGGTTTTGAACTTCTGATCTCAGGTGATCCACCCATGACCTCCCAAAGTGCTGAGATTATAGGCATGAGCCACTGTGCTTAGTCAATAATGGCCTTTCTGACTGATGTGAGATGGTATCTCATTATAATTTCTATTTCTCTAATGATTAGTGATGTTTGGCATTTTTTCATATGCTTGTTGCCACATGTATGTCTTCTTTTGAAAAGTGTTGATGTCCTTTGCCCCCACCCTGCTCTTTGTTTTTTTAGACTGAGTCACACTCTGTCTCCTAGACTTGAGTGCAGTAGTGCAGTGGCACAATTTTGGCTCACTGCAACCTTTGCCTCCTGGATTCATGTGATTCTCATGCCTCAGCCTCCTGAATAGCTGTGATTACAGGCACACACCACCATGTTCAGCTAATTTTTGTATTTTTAGTAGAGATAGGGTTTCACTATGTTGTCCAGACTGGTCTCAAACTCCTGGGCTCAAGCAATTCTCCCACCTTAGCTTCCCAAAGTGCTGGGATTATGGGTGTGAACCACCACACGTGGCCCTTTGCCCATTTTTTAATGGGGTTGTTTATTTTCTGCTTGTCAATTTGTTTAAGTTCTTTATAGATTCTGAATGTTAGACTGTTGTCGGATGCATAGTTTTCAAATATTTTCTCCCATTCTGTAAGTTGTCTGTTTACTCTATTGATAGTTTCTTTTCTTTCCCAAGGCGGATGTCCAGAATGGTGTTTCCTAGGTTATCTTCCAGAGTTTTTACAGTTTCAAGTTTCACATTTACATCTTTAATCCATCTTGAGTTGATTTTTGTGTATGGTAAAAGGAATGGGTCCAGTTTTAATATTTAGGACATGGTTAAGTTATCCTAGCAC